CCCCTCTGGTCACCCCAGGCCTGGAGTGGGACGCGTCCACATCTTTGGCTCCACTTGCAAGCCTTCCCGCCCTCCCGGGTTCCAACCGATTCTCTGCCTCCCCCTCCCAAGTGCTGGGACTACTAACAGGCACTCCTACCTCTGACCCCTTGGCTTAATTTGTATTTTTTAGTAACGAACAGAGTTTTCACCCATGTTGGCCAGGCGTTCACTTAACTCCTGATCTCAGCGTTGGACCCGCCCCTCAGCTCCCAAAGTGCTGGGATATAAGATGACACTGCCAATGTAATTTCTACCAAAGGTCCCAGAAGCAGGGGCGCCAAGAGCTGTTCTCAGACGGAGAGTGAGTTATCGTGATGCTGACAGAACCTTCGCTCCCAAGTCCTAACGACTGTGCCTACAGGCCTGGCAAAGCTCCACAGCGGGTCTTCTGCTGCCACTGACCCAGGCACCACTGGATCTGCTGGGTCGTGTGGCCCACGTGGCAGAACGGCATACACAGAACCTGGACCTACTGCAGAGACTTCTCTTGCTCTGGGCCATGCTTCAAACTAGCAGCTTTTCAAATCGCTCAGTAAATGGACAGAGTTGGACACCTAAAAGAGAAAGAACATATCAACCCCATGTCAAACAGGCCCGCTTAGTGCTGTTTTTCTCTTTTGGTTGCAGGAGGATTCAGATGCAACGACTTGTCCTTCACCTTAGAACAGGCCCCACACCCCTGGATGTTTCCCTGAGGTAGAAGGCTCTGAATTGCAGCTGGGTTTATTCCCCACCTTCTGACACCAACAAGTCTGGAATGGTGACTACTTCTTGTGCCTTACGTCCCATCAGCATGATGTCATCAGTGTAATGGGCCAGTGTGACATCCTGGGGAAGGAAAAGGTGATCGAGACCTCTGAGAATTACCTCTGACACAGGCTGGAGAGGTGAGAGGCCCCTGAGGTGGGGCGGTGAGGGTGCGTTGCTGGCCTGGCTTCTGCTGGGCCTTGTGGACGGGGGTGGAGGAGAACGCATTTGCCGGATCAGTAGCTGCGCACCAGGAAGCAGGAGATGTGCTAATTTGCTCAAGCAATGGAAACACGTCTGGCCCAGCAGCTGCAGTTGGAGTCAAACTTAGGACAGTCTCCCGTCATTCTCCAGGACCCACCTGTCTCCCCTACGGGCCGAACAGGCGAGTGGAATGGGCTGTGGTGGGGATCACTGCCCCTGCATCTCTCAAGTGCTTGGTGGTGGCGCTGATGTCTGCAGTTCCTCCAGGGATGTGGGATGGCTTTTGACTGACGGTTCTAGGTAGAGGCCTCTCTAATGGCTTCCACTTGGCCTTTCCCCCCATAGCAGCCCAGGTCAGGGGATATATGTGGGGACTCTGCCGGCTGCTGAGTGTGTCTGTTCCACTTACGCATCTGGAGCTGGGGAAATGACCACAGGATGGGCCGGGGACCCACTGGACCCAGGAGTCAGACCTGAGCTAAAACTCCATTGATCCCCTGGCTCCCTAAGCCCCTCCCTAACTGGATGGCCACAGCGTCCCTCCAGCATCTCCTAGAATCAATGTCAGGACAGAGTCAGTGTCCAATTGTCCCAAAATGTCGCATGATTTTATTTTCTCCAATACGCAGTTACCCAGATGGAAGGCCGTAGACCCCTTTGGAGAAGACCAGGGGAAGAATTAACAGTGTTTATACATTTTTGGCAGTCCTGGGGTCCTTCCTCAAGGGTACCCAGACTTTCTTTCGTTCTTTCTGGATTCATAGACTGACTCAAGTCTGTGAATGACTGAGGCCATGATTCTCGGCTTTTATGGCTGGAGTTAGAGTTCTGTCCACTTGATCTGGAAGTTTTTTGCTTGTACCCAGTAGGAATTGAGCAGGCTTCTGGTCTGTTTCACTGCTAGGAACAACATGGTAAGCAGCCAGCGCCGTAGGTCTACATGGGTCAGACCTGTGGCCCAGGTCTGACTGCTACTTTGCCTCTGCTGTCGGTCATGGTAACCACGCCCACTTTGCCTTTGGTGCTTGAGTGCCCCCACTTGGGCCCTGCTACCCCAGGATCCAATTATTCCTGTTGCATGTAAGTTTCGCAGTTGATTACTGCAGTTCCTACTGTGAGTCTGGCCTACAGAGAGGAACAATTGCAGAGCTCTGCAAGGAGACTGGGCTCCCTCACAAATCTATGTCTCAGCGTTGTGAAACCACAGTCCTCAGCCTTTTTGGCACGAGGGACTGGTTTCATGGAAGAGTATTTTTCCACAGACTCGGAGTTGGAGGGTGGTTTGGGGATGATTCAAACACATTACGTTTATTGTGCACTTATCTGTATTATTATTACATTGTAATATATAAGGAAATAATTACACAACTCACCACCATGTAGAATCAGTGGGAGCCCTGAACTTGATTTCCTTCAACTAGACAGTCCCATGTGGAGGTAATGGGAGACAGTGACAGATCATCAGGCATTAGATTCTCATAAGGAGTGTGCAACCTCGATCCCTCATATGTGCAGTTCACAGTGGGGTTTGTGCTCCTATGAGAATCTAATGCTGCTGCTGATCAGACAGGAGGCGGAGCTCAGGTAGTAATGTGAGTGATGGGGAGTGGCTATAAACACAGATGAAGCTTCGCTCACTCACCCACCGCTCACCTCCTGCTGCGTGGCCCAGTTCCCAACAGGCTGTGGACCAGCACCAGTCCCTGGCCTGGGGGGCTGGGGACCCTGTTGTGAAAGGTCTGAGTTCTGAGCCCTTCCAGGGTGGGTGAGGAAGTTTTAACTGTCACATTCCAGTCTCTCTAAGTCTTTGAACCCCTTTCTCTATGTTAAGCCAAGGGGACTTAAGCACCTCCAGTTCGCTCACTGCAGGCATCCTTTGATCCATGTTTCAACTAACCCACCAGATAGAGCTTTTCCAAGTCCCCGAGCTGCAGCCTGGAATGCAGCCTCTACTTGGTGGACACGTCTGCACACCCGGCCCCTCTACCTCCATGTTCCTCCCCCAGTGCCCACACCCAGTGTCCGTTTCCACTCATGCCTCCGGGTGGAAAGTCTGTCTGTATACATCAGAGAGGTCAGGTGGCTCTTCTGGGATGTGGCCTGTCTCCTCCTGTGTCACACCGTGGGCCTCACCTTCAAGGGGCTGCTGGGCTGTGAGTTTTGTTATAGGTCTTGAAGCAAAGGGAGGGGTTGGGGAGGCTCCTGAGAAAAATCAGCAACTGCCTTAGGGGAAGTCCTTACCCGTTCCTCAGGCAACACAGATTAAGGCCTCAGAGGAGGTGGCAAGGCCAGTACTGCTGGGGGTGGGTGCAGCACTGGGGGTGGGTGTAGCACTGGGGGTGGGTGTAGCACTGCCATTGGGTGCAGGGAGGCTGCTTCTGCTGACAAAATGACTCATCGTAACTTAGAGGCTCACCGTCCCCAGCTTCATCAGGGTCCTCCCATATGTATCCATCCCAATTTACAGGATCCCCTGTTTCCCAGTCAATGCCCTCACTGTAACAGTGGACAACCTGCAAGGCTGAGAGTTCAACTTGCTTTGTAATTCATCCAGTTTCATGATGAGGACTCTGTTTCCTTTTCAGCAGTCTTGGCCCCAGGGCTACAGGAAAGGAGATTCTCCTTCAGGGTTCACTCAGCCACTCACAGGTTATTTATACAGAGCTGGAACTGGGAATTTGAATCACTGAGCACATCCTTTGATTTCATCACTTTGTCCAGCAACCAACTGGTAACCAGCCTACATCACTATATTCCTTGATTTTCCACAAGCATTCGAAAATATCATATACAGAGTCACTAAGCTCCTCACCTCTTGTAAGTGGTTTACTAGGAGTATACAATGCAGAAATTTGCATATTTTCATAAACTGTTCACACCATGGACCATCAGTGTTCTGTGTACTATTGAAAGTAGAGTTCCTTGCACTTTTAAGTCAAGTCATATTAGAAAGCCAGTTCCAAAAAGCACAACACACATTCAGAAAACTCATTCTTATGATTCTGTTTCTCTAGAATCGCTCCTGATACCAAAACCTATGTTAGGGTTCTTCAGGTAAACAGAACCGATAGGAGAGAAATAGGATCGAGGCCAGGTGTGGTGGCTCACACCTGTAATCCCAGCACTTTGGGGGGCAGAGGCTGGTGGATCACGAGGTCAAGAGATTGAGACCATCCTGGCCAACATGGTGAAACCCCATCTCTACTAAAAATACAAAAATTAGCTGGATATGGTGGCACGTGCCTGTAGTCCCAGCTACTCAGGAGGCTGAGGCAGGAGAATCGCTTGAACCTGGGAAGCGGAGGTTGCAGTGAACCGAGATCACGCCACTGCACTCCAGCATGGGGGACAGAGCGAGACTCCATCTCAAAAAAAAAAAAAAAAAAAAAGAAATAGGATTGATACAGGTATGGATATGTAGATACATGAAAAGGGATTTATTATGGGAACTAGCTTATATGATTACAGAGGCTGAAAATTCCCACAATAGGCCATCTGTAAGCTGGGGACCAGGGAAGCCAGCTGTGTGGTGCAATGTAAGTGTGAAGGCCTCAGAATCAGGAAAGCCAGTCGGGTAACTCTCAGTCTGCAGCTGAAGGCCTGAGGACCTGGAGGCCACTGGTACAAGTCTCAAAGTGTGAAGGCTGAAGAATCTGGAGTTCTGATATCCAAGGGCAAGAGAGATGGGTGTCCCAGCTCCAGAAAAGAGCGTGTGGAGAGGCAAAGAGAGAGGGAGAGTTCGCCTTTCTTCTACTTGGCACTGCACTCAGCACTGGGCGGCACAGCAGGATCTCTTTTTCTTCAATAAAAAAAATATAAAAAATAATAAAATAAAACAAAG